CCTGACTTTATTTGTAGTGAGATTTAAAAATAAATTGCACATCAACATTGCCACTTTTTCTTCTCTACTAGATGGTATAATTAGAATTTCAATATGACGTTTGATCTCTTGTTCTCTAGCATCAACTTTATTTTTTCTAATGAACGGCATGTTGGATTTTGCACACATAAATAGAGTTTCAAAATAATAGAATTTCCTAGGTAGGCCTTAGATTTATCAGATAGTCATTTGTTTTGTATACCGAATTCATCGCAAATACTTTGTTCATTTCCTGATTTTATTTGGAAAGGGATTTTAAAATAAATGGCATATTAGCATTGCCTCTATTTCTCATCTACAGGATTCTCAATTGGTCGCTTCTTTGATTTTGTACAATCGAACACAATTTTGCATTTAGTTATGTCACGATAAAATTCATATGTTTGATTAGAGTAATATTACTCTTAGTAGTATTTAGATGTACAAAATTCCAATATAGCGTCCATAGGAAAGTTCGTGATGGAAGCCGAAAAAAGAAACCTCGAATTGAAAATTTGACTACGCCATATTGTAGAGGAGAAACAGAGGTAACGAATTTTTTTTGGACCTTTTCTTTCAAACTATCGATACAAAGATTGAATTACGTACGTCACACCATTGCAACTTATTCAAATAATTGGGACCTCGGTTGGCCGGGTGGGTCAGAGTGTCGTGCTACTGATCAGCCGGCCGGTCGGGCCACGAGTTCGAATCTCGCCTTCGCCATGGATGTTGTGTGTTTGTTTTAGGCAGCAGCGGTGGCCGCAGTAGTAGACCTTCGGTCTCCTGATCAGTCGCCGTGCGCTGTGCGGGTTCGAGTCCCGTTCAGAAAATTTTGATTTTGTTTTGTCATACTGAGAAATTCAAATAAACGTACTACGCATAAATCTATTTTCCAAATGGGAACGCTGTCTGAAATTCTCATTTACCTTAAGCTCATTGAACACACCTACACTCTCTGCTATTTCGAGAAATTGTCGCTCAAAGATGAATGATAATACCAAGGTGAAGGGTACTGTTAAAGGCGCTTGCAATATTTAGGCAGGTGCTGGGTGTATTTCCTCAATAATTTTTTGATACCCCTCAATCTTGTAGTGTAGTTTATTTGGGGGGAAAATACAATCTTCATATTGTTTTCTTTTAAACAGCGAAAGGGGAAATGCATTATCTAAGGTCTTTTCTGAAGTCAAAGAAACCCATACACTCATAGTTAATAATTGAATTCACATTTTAAATATTTAAGAAAACGTACTCCAAGAACGAAATAGGTAAAAGCTAAAATAACCGATAAAACTCGAAATATACATGACCCGAATAAAAACCAGTAGTCATGCCTTCTATGTCGTCATTTTGAAACCAAGTTGCATTTTCAAGCACTATCACAAAAAGAAGACTAATACCAGTTTGATAACTTAATTAAACCTACAGGGTCATATTAATAAATATCGAGTTATGTCGGTTTCTTCCAAAATACAGGATTATATAAACAACTGATTTATTTCTGAAATATCATTAAAATTGCATGAAATAGACCTAATATACGATCATGATTTTTTTACTGAAAGTTAGAAGTTATGTATGAAAGATGACAGCGATAAATGAATAGAGATTTCATTTTTTTTATTTTATAAAAAAACAGTGGCTTGACATGGATTTATTTTTGAAAATTTTACCGTCCTCTATCTCGGAATTTGAGACGCTTAGAACGCATGGTCATGTGTTCTTTTTAAATGTACCTCCTTAGATATTGACATTCAATTAGGAAACAGTATATTGTTCACTTTGAATATTACAACCTATACAATGAACAGTTTCGTATCCAGACTTTAATTGTTATTGAAAGTTTTATAATAGTATCTGTTAAATTATCGGACGATTCTTCAATACTCCCAATCACAAGAAGACATATCCGACGAGCCAAGTACGTCTGTACCCGTACTTAACGACTTAATACAGAAGGCCCGTTTGATAATCTACTTTCACCATCAATCCTCTTATAATTGTAATTAAATCCCCCTGGAATGAGTGTGACAATAGCGATTATTCCGTAGTCTCTCCATCTACTCGATTTCGTCTCTTATCGGGAAAATGTGGAAAACAGCGTTGTCGGTTGAACATTGCACACACCGAACAAGGGGAAGTGGTGTCATAACAAGGTTCATAGAAACAAAAGAGATAGAGGCAAGCAGATGCAAATGTGGCATAGAAATATTCGACAAGATGTTTTGAAATACTCCTCAGAGTGGTTTCACCGACGTCTTCAGATCTGCAGAGACCAAATTCGTACCGTGTGAAGCATTGTTGAAGAGACGTTGAGGAAAATTAACAGCTCCTAAGAAGACAGTCAGAAGGTATATCTTACTCCAGCCTCAAAAATAAAAACTTCTTCTATCTGAGGCAAGAAATGTGTTTTTGGATATGTTTCAACTTCTGTGACTTCTACTTGACGAAAATCGGCACGTTTATAGCTTAATGCTATTTCCAGAGTTAGCTACAGCAGTTTTGATGAAATTTGTACTGGAAAATTTACGAAAAAAAAAAATGTATTATCATGTATTATCATATCCGCAACTTCGTAACTATTTAATAATTTTTTAGCATAATCAATCATATTTTTCGAGAAGCGAAATTGAAATGACTTAAATGAGTTAGGGCAACATAGGCCTCTTGTACTCAGCGAGCTAGAAGTGTAACGGCGTTTCTAAGCCGGTAATATTTTTAGTGCACTCTCGCTGCAATAGATCGGAATTCCGTTCTTGCTCGATTTTGTAGCTCGTCTGATGACAAAATTCTGACAAGTATACAGGGTGTTCCTTAGTGATATGAGAATATTTAAGGGTGTGAATCTACATGAAAAATTCATGTTGGTTTGCTTTATAAACTATGGTCCAAAAATGTTTCCTTACAAAAATTCGGGGTGTTGAAGTTTTAGGAAAAAAAAATGGAAATTAGTTAATATTTTCAGAACCGCATTAGATATTTCCCTGATATTTGGTACGTAGTGAAAGTTGATAAAGTTGCATATTTTTCAATGCAAAAATAATTTTTAGGTGTAACAGTGGCGTGCGTACGGGTATTGACTTCGATATTTTTAAGAAAAAAAATGGTACGTCAATGGTTTTTTGCCAAATAAAAATTATTTTTTTAATTCCCCGTTCAATTTATAACAAATGATCTCTCCTGAATTGTTTTCCTTCGATGCGCCATTTTTGAGTAGAAAAATAAAAACCGTTCTATCGTCTAGCTTGCAAAATTATTATTAATTTAATTGACAACATAAACGTAACAGCAAAACCAACGAAATGATTACAAAAATTGTTGAAAATTGGCCCCTTCAATTAGTATGCATGCTTCCGCCCTCCTTCTCATGAAATTGCGCACTCGTTGAAATATCCCTGGAGTGTTTTCTAATCTATCACAAGCTGCAACTATTCTTCTTCTTAATTCCTCCACAGTGTTAATGGGACTTGTGTACACTAGTGTCTTAAGATAGCCCCACAAAGAGAAATCTTAACTGTTGAGGTTTGGGGACCTTGGTGGCTATTCTTGGGGGCCCACCGCGGCCAATCCAACGATTTGCACTGAAATGCGCTGGTGCAACATCATGCATGTACCACATGAGTGGGCCAATAACGTGGTTGCCAATAATTCCTGCCCATACGTTAACCGGAAATTGGTGTTGGAAATGGTTTTCGGTTACAGCGTATTGATTTTCTTCTGCCTACAAATGATTATTGTGGAAATTCTGGATGGAATTTCGAGAAAAATTAGCTTCGTCCGTGAACAGAATCATTGATTCAAATTGAGGATTTTGTGTAATTTTTTGAAGATACCGCTGACAAAACGTCACACGCTTTGGAAAATCAATGGAAAGTTATGGCTGTACTCTTAAAATATAGTAAGGATATAACAAAAATTCCACTAAAATTCTCCAAACAATTTGATGGTAAATACTTAAGGGTCTAGCGATCTTCCTCGTACTCGTTTCAGGATGTTCTTCGACTTCGTGCAGCACTGATTCCTCAATTTCAGGTGTTCTCACACTTGGAGGTCTACCTTCAGATGTTCCCTTTCGGACAGAACTAGTTTCAGCCGTTTCTGCATTTGAATGATTTACCATTATTAACAACATTGTAAAAACTAAATAATGAAAAAGATGTCACAGCGAACACATTTGAATAACAGAGACTTGTCAGATGTCATAAGCCAGTGACATATTCCAGAGCAACTAGATATTTATTGCTAAATTGCATTCTTCAATTATTACATTAATTTTCTCGGACAATAGAACGGTTTATATTTTTTTAATCAACAATGGCGCATCAAAGGAAAATAATTCAAATTGTTTTAAATTGAACGGGTAATTCAAAAGTAGTTTTTGTTTGGCAAAAAACCATTGGCGTACTGTTTTTTTCTTAAAAAATATCGAAGTCAATACCCGTACGCACTCCACTGTTAGAGCTAAAAATTATTTTTGCATTGAAAAATATGCAAATTTATTAAATTTCACTACGTACTAAATATCAGTGAAATATCTGAAGCGGTTCTGAAAATATTAATCAACTTCCATTTTTTTCCTAAAACTCCAACACCCCGAGTTTTTGTAAGGAAACTTTTTTGGACTATAGTTTATAAAGCAAACTAACATTAATTTTTCTTCTGGAGTCATACCCTTAAATATTCGCATATCATTAAGGAACACCCTGTATATGTCTACACATTGCAGACAATAAACATAGCCTGGCTATATGCTGCAATATATCCTTAAAGCCGAGCTATAGTTGCGATAATTATAGCCAAAGATTGCAACAAAAGTATTGCCCGTTTAAGGAATATAAGGGCTATACGTGGAAATAAATATTTATATATTCTGAGGCAATGAACCGAAAATTTATCTTTTTCAAGCTATCAGCCAAAGTTGTAATAACAATCGGTTGTCAATTCCCAATTTATAATTGTTCCATTGTAGTAATGTTACTTACATCTCTGGGCTTTCGATATCGTTGCTGTAACAATCCTTCATTGGATCACTGGCAGTTTGCAAGCTAGAGTGAAGATTCACGTTTCCTCCATGCTCTCTCTGTCCATTGGTGGGATATTCCATGGTAAAATCTTCTCCTGGTTTACTCACAAACTCCGGAAAAGTTACATCAATTCTCGCCTGAAAAAAAACCTTTGACGGTGTGTGTCTTGCACAGTTTCAACCATGTGCGCCCTTACATCGAAATTCAACGGTCCCAGAAATCCTATTTAGCAACATTTCCGTCTCCCATGGAATAGGAATACTTTTGCACGAAAGTAATCTGTTTGCTTCAATATAGGCTCATTAGTTACTTTTACGAAAACACCACCACCATAGCTTTCTCGACTTGCCATCGTCGGCGATGATAAAAAATGCAAAATAGTAAAAAAATAACTTTGGATAGTTCTGCGTTGAAACGACAATTCGCTAAGTCATATCAAGATGAAAAGTTCTTAGAAAAGACGATGATTTTGTGTGTTTGCATGATTACAAAGAAAAAAATGGCGTCAAGTAGGTTGAATCTGCTTTTGCTGCAACAGCTTAACGGATTTTGCCATCTGAGGTCCGTAGATTGGTCTTGATAGCACAATTGAGTCTTCATTAATTTTAGTTGCTGCATTCAGATTGTTAGTATTTTTGTAAATTCAGATCTAGAGAGGAAATTTTCGCGTATGTTGGATAACCAGAAAAACATAGAAGCCACTCGTTGCTTAAGAAACGGGTACCCTATTAGGTAAATTTTACTTCTCAAGTGAGTAGTAGCCAGCGGGGTGCATAATACAGATGCTGTCAACACACAAAACTGATGAGTTAAAAAAAAGGAGGGAAGATGCTTTTTGATACTTTACAGGTTATGGCCCCGCTTTAGAGATCCATCGGGTGGTATATCCGCGCTCGACAGTCTGATACCGTCTACTACCTAAGAACAATTACAACAGCCGTAGCCAATGAAAAATCTCCAAGGACGGGATTCGAACCCATGCAGCTCACGGCCACTAATTTGTAGTCACACTACCAGTACGCCGCTGACGAATTTATCTTCCCGATACTGCCTCTTTAGACTTTCAGTTTCCCTTACGGATGCCGGATGGTTTCAAATCTGATGAAATAACATGGCACTTGGTTAGTTTAGATGCTATTTATCAATCTGACTAGACAACGCCATGACGAAGCACTTGCTTAGGTTCATAACTCACTATTTCATGAGAATCATTAATTTCAAAGATAACGGAGTAACAAAACCATAAATAATATAAAGGGCGGTCATTAGCTCCGGAGTTATATACTTATAAAGTTTAAAGAGCTTTCGGAAGCATAAACACGGAGGAAGCATATAAATCATAAGTCCAAGGTAACCAGCTACGCAATTTGAAAATTTATTGAGGAATTGTATACCTCTCCTCTAGATAGCACAAATATTTCTGTATCTCTTTAGCAGAAGTGGTGGCCGTATTCAAGAGACCACATTTTTGGGTCCAGGATAACTGTTTATGCGACGTCGACTTTATTTCGTATTGCAGTGTTTCATATTTTTACATGCCGAATCTCTCGCTAAAAGCCCCTAAAACATTCTGATATACTCTGTATGCATAATTGGGTCTAAAATTAGTTAATGTGTATATTCTGCACTATACATATGGCTTTGTTGTGGACGTACATGCTACATTTAGACAAGTGGCTGTTCAAAGGTTATGGCCAAAATTAGGAATATGGCTCAAGGTACACCATGCGGTAGTTGAAATGCGTACAAAATATTATATGATATATCAGCTTGGGAAATCACCTTAAAATCATATATGACAGAAATAGATATAGCACAAAAATCAATTTTGGATAACTACCAAATAAATTATATTTCGTATTGCCGTTCTCGAATTACAAAGTAACCACTTGTAGTAGCAATTTTTCCCGCTCGCACCAGCACGAAGTTCAAAGCAAAATATGCTCCCCGCCCCTGCCCATACCCGGCATAGACCGGTACCTGATCTCCTCTACCAAGACTCGTCACTGCAATTTTTCGTGCGCTCGCAGCAGGACGGAGAGAAAGATGGGTCGCGTAACAAAGAAAGTGACGCGTAAACACAGAAAAAAATTACACAAATTGCTGCAACTTTTAGATAGTTCAAGTAAGTATATTGTAATTAATTGTTCCATTCTGTTTTAGCCCCAATTCATTCAATGAAAACATAAGTACACATGTGCTATGTGCCTATCAGGTTCCTGTTTATTATTGATATTCAGTATTCACATGAATTACTAGTATTAATTAAAATGGTTGATTAATTTCAATGTGCCCCTCGGATATACATGTACACATGTACTATGTACCGATTAAATACTTCTTGATATACAGTATTCACATGAATTACTGGCATGAATAGTTGATTGTCTTCAAAATACATCTCGGGTATGCGTATGTACACATGTGCTATGCACCGAATGGCGACTTCTTGACTTACAGTATTCACATGAATTACTGTTGTCAATGTTATTGGCATATTGGTATGGAATACATAGTATGTAACTCTTTCAAAACAAAGCTGCCGGATAGTGTTTATAAACATGTGAAAATGTTTTTTAGGCGAGTCAGACGTCTCGTCGTTGGAGAGTACAGGGACGGACTCGGATTCAGATGCGCCCTTATCAAAGCATCCAACGCAAGTCCCGGACCCTGGCTCATCCCAGGATCAGGGTGTACAAAATATACTACAATTCCTGGGTAATCAAGCATCTGCTATAAAACGACCAGAGGTCAGTACAGACGTAGCAGCTCTGATATCTGAGTTTTTACTCAAGGGAATTGATAAAGAATCTCGCAAAACTACTCTGGAATCTTATCCCTGTTTGGCAAACTGTCCAGCCCTTCAGCCTCCAGTGATTAACCCAGAGGTTCGATCTTGTTTAAGTACAAATGCAGTTAAAGAGGATACATTCCTCACTAAACTTCAATTACAGTTAGCATCAGGGATAAGTGCACTGGCCGTCGGCTTCGATAAGCAATATGAAATAACGAAATCGAATTCTACAGACGAAACACGAGCTGATTTGGAAAGATGCTGTGCTCCACTAAAAATAATCGCAGATGTTTTTCACGCGATTTCTCTTCATCATCGTTATTCCATTCTACCATTTTTGGATGGCAACGTTCGCAAATTTTCTGATACTTGCCCAATTGATGAATTTTTATTTGGAAAAACATTCCCGGACCAATGGAAATCCGCAAGTGAAGCTCAACGATTAGGCTTTTCAATCAAGAAGAAGTAAAGAGCCCTAGGATCAGCATCTTCCAAACCAGTCGTCTATAAGAAATTGGAGCCCAAGCCAGGTCCGTCGAGGGTCCCGTCGTCTTTAAACTCCCGGCGCCAGCAACACAAATCTCGCATGAAAAAGGAGGAGGAGAGGTTTCGTTCAGCAAGGTCATACCGGAAGCAGTAGACAAGGTACATACTCTTTGCGATATGTATACTGGTCGCTTATCTGCATATGTAAATAAGTGGGCAAACATTACACAAGATTCTACTATTATTTCGTGGTTATCTGGATATAAAATGCCTCTTGTTAAGAAACCTAAGCAAAGGCGTTTACCTAGACCTGCTTTTACGCTGCAGGAATCAGATAAATTAAAGGATAGCATAAGACTTTTGATAAACATAGGAGCAGTATCCAAAACTTACCTCAAAACCTGGCCAGTTTTTGTCCTCATTTTTCTTAATACCAAAACCTTGTGGGGCATTCAGGTTTATTCTAAATTTAAAGGAATTAAACGAATTTTTAGAACCACCCCACTTTAAATTGGAAGATTTCAGGACTGTCTTCAAATTGGTTTATAATGACTGTTTCTTCACTAAAATAGATTTAAAAGATGCCTATTTTATGATACCGGTGCATCAGACATTCAGAAAATACCTCACTTTTAAATTTCAAGGTGTATATTACCATTTTAATTGTTTACCTTTTGGTCTTTGTACAGCCCCATGGGTCTTTACAAAAATTATGAAACCAATCCTTAAATATTTAAGGACTAGAGGTATACTTTGTGTACTGTATTTAGATGACTTATTAATTATCAGTAAGTCAATACAAACAGCTGAGCAAGACTGTCAAATTGCTAAGGATATTTTAGAATATTTAGGATTCTTAGTAAATTACGATAAAAGCTCTATGATCCCAGCCAAACAATGTACCTTTTCAGGTTTTGTTTTTGATTCCACAAATTTAAGGGTGTCCTTACCAACAGAAAAAGTGAAAAACATGATGGAACTAGTAGAGACTTTACGCCGCAATCGGTGTTCTGTTTTAGTTTTAGCTCAGTTAATAGGAAAAATAGTTTCCGTTTGCCCGACTGTACAATATGGTTGGATGCACCTTAAGATTTTAGAACGAGTTAAATATGTAACATTAAAAAGACACGAGCAAAATTTCAATACCTCAGTAATAATTTCAGAAATAATGCGATCAGAAATATATTGATGGCATCACACTCTTATAAATAATGAAGGTGTAGCTATTGTTGCAGATAGGAAATTCATACTTGAGATTTTCTCAGATGCTTCATTAACTGGTTGGGGTGCCTTTTGTCAGAATAGAGGTACTAACGGTTTTGGGAATGTGGACGATGCTAACAGACACATTAACTATTTGGAGTTACTATCCGCATTTAATGCACTTAAATCCTTTGCCTCCAATATATCTTCTTGTTCAATTCTTCTTAGGATCGACAATGTAACGGCTATAGCTTGCATAAATCATATGGGTAGTGTAAGATATAAGCACCTTAATAACATTACACGCCAGATTTGGGAATGGTGTGAGAATAGACAAATTTTCATAGTAGCTTCATATATAAATACAACAGATTATTTATACGCAGATAGATTATCTCGCTCGAAATCTATCAACCTAGAATATGAGTTATCGAGTTTGGCTTTTCGAGAAATTTGTTCTAGTTTCGCGAAACCGACTGTGGATTTATTTGCGACACAGTTAAATGCCAAAGTTCCTAGGTATATTTCTTGGAAACCAGATCCTAGTTCCTTTACAGTTGATGCATTTACAGTGCCTTGGAGAAAAGAGTTTTTTTATGCGTTTCCTCCTTTCTCACTCATATCAAAATGCCTACAAAAAATTATTGCTGAACAAGCTTGTGG